ATTGAGACCTGTCTTCCTACGTAGGCGTAGGATTAGAGAAACTTCTATCTGTAAATGGATGGGTTGACCAAACCATGACTGTCGGCCGATGTGGAATGTTTGAGCTGATCAAAAGAAGGTAAGTACTTGTAACCCTTATACTTCAAAAATTCTCAATGGGCCATAAATTAGTCACCTACTTTGAACTACTGTTAAATATAAGCCAAATCTGACGATGTATTACACTTTGGAATTATGGGGCCTAAATGGAAAAGTGTAAGCTACGTTACGAATTGATCTCTTCGTAATTTTCTCGTGAAACAAAACACGTTATGAAGTATGATACTGTGCCATACATCAATGAAGTAGAGGAAAACCCTTAATAACAGCAGTATATGTAATGTTTATAATACGACAAAGAAACATAGATTAGATATTATAAAACTTAATCTTATTTAAAAAAACAACAACAACAACAAAAAAAAAACAAAAAAAACTGACGTATTGTGGAGCCAAAAACATTGTGCACAGCGGTAACTGACTTGCTACGAAAGGGCGAAATGTAAGACAGTTTTCTGTAGTTTGTCCTTTGTGTTACAGATAAGTCAACACGGGTTAAGCCAGGGAAATGCAATTTTTCAGTGCTAATAATTTAGACCGGTTGTAAGCAAACTTTAAAAGTTCAAGAAACAGAAAAATTAATTATAATTGACAATAAGACAGCTTTTAGAAATAGCAGTACAATAGTATCCTTAGATAATTATTAGAAATAGCTACATGAAGTTTACGAGATGCAGATTAGGCACTTACGTGTTTACTTTGAGACAGAAATTAATGTTTAAGTATTTCACACTATAACAAAATGATTCAAGTTTCTCTTTGAACATTTTTATTTCGTAATCATCATTTTTCCACTACCATTTTTCAGTCTCCAGTACTACACTGAAACATTGTCCCACTTGCATTACTGCCTTTCATTCTTTATTACAGCACTGAAACATTGTCCCACTTGCATCACTGCCTTTCATTCTTCATTACAACACTGAAACATTGTCCCATTTGCATTACTGCCTTTCAGTCTCCAGTACTACACTGAAACATTGTCCCACTTGCATCACTGCCTTTCTTTCTTCATTACAGCACTGAAACATTGTCCCACTTGCATCACTGCCTTTCATTCTTCATTACAACACTGAAACATTGTCCCACTTGCATCACTGCTTTTAAGTTCTCACTGGCTGATCTGCACTGCTGCTTTTAGTTCTCCCGTGATACAATGAAATATTGTCTCACTGCCTTATATTTCTCCAGTGCTATATTGAAACATTACCATTCCCCACTATTGACTTTTGGTTGTTGATTTTAGATGTATATATATATACATTGGCACTCATCACTTTTATAACATACATTTGAAGCTTTCTTTCAGTCGTGCTGTGGACATTTATAAATGTAAAATTTTATGGGTTTATTTGTGACTGGTTCTGAAGCAATGGTTTAAAAAGCATTGGCTATAATTGTAAAGGTGATGTATAGTGTTTATAACATTGGTTTTGACCTCTTAATAGTTTTGAGAACTGGAGACTTGACGTCAATGGCATCATTCCTAATGACTTCAAGGCCAGAAAGGTGAGGGAAAAGTAATTTTTATTCAGATAATTAAAATTAACTTTATATCAGCAGCATATTACAAAACACGTGGGTGATAACAAAGAAACCCCTAATATTTAAAATAATTATATCTTAAGAAAACTTGTACTAGTGACCTAAGTTTCACTACAGGCACGTTGTAAAATTGTAAGTTTTATCGAGGAAAGTTTGGGCACGGTACAGTGTGTTTCAAAACCTGTAACAGAAGACGTGTAATATGCTTTCTTTCTGTCATTCATAATCTGCCAAGTAAGTACCTAAGTTACGGCACATGTAATCTGTTCTGTGCATTGTCTGCAATATCCTACACACTGATTACCATTTTAATCAAATCGACAATCTCGCATCGTTGAAAGAAAAAGCCTGTGTTATTTTATACGAACATTTTGTTTAATACGTGATGTATGCCACATTTTCATGATGAGAGAAGGTTGATTGTGTACCTTGAACAGCCTTGGAACCACTGAATCCTCTGGATGAGAGAGTCATTGCTTCCAAGTCTTTTTTAAGTCTATAATAAACGTTTTCTTTCTCTCATCCTGTACCATTTCAAAACTTTTCTGAATAAAACCTGTTTTCTAGTGTGTGAATCACATGAACTTTATTTACCTAAGACAAGTAGTTTTTAACATGTATAACCACTTTAATGTGGGGCTTCATTTGTAATTACCCTTTATAATATTACAATAGTTATGATTAGCATGTAGTATGTTTTTCGACACATGTTTGTATCATGATTATCCAGGTATTTAGTTTGAAAAAACTTGAAACACAACAATGTCTAAACTGGGTATTTGTTCTGTTTATCTTCACATGCCAGAATCAAACATCAAATCTGTTATAGAAAACAAATTAGTGCACGTTCACACTCTGAACATTAGAATCTAGCAAAGATCTAAAACAAATTTGTTATTTAAAATAGACAGGCAATATTGTATATATAATTAATAATGTTACTAAGAGGCTGAGTTGCTGTTTACAAAGTACATATTAGTTGGAAGAGTGGAAAACCTCATCATTAACTAACTATTATGTTAGCCTCGATACAGTTAAACATCTTTAAATAAAAAACAAACTCAAGAAATAACAAGCTTGACATCTCACTTATGTCCTGGGGGGGATATCATTCCAGAGTAATGATATGAAACTTAACATTTTCACTTTTAACACAATTTACTCCACATTATTTATTTGGTCTGTAGTATAGCCAAAGTTCTAAGGTTTGTTGTTTTTATTTGTATAAACTATTTTAAAATAATATCCAACTTGAAATTTTTGAATTAAGTATGTACCTTTTGAATGAGTGGAAGAAGATAATACTGTTGTAAAACTTTATCTGTAACTATCTTTATATTTAGCCAATTATTTAAATATTTCTCCTGCTATAATAACAAATCTCTCAATTCTGTGACGTTTAAAACTTCTTGTGTCTCAACATTTCCAGGATTAGAAGGATTCCCATGCTTTTGTTTGTTTACTAGTGATATTTGTCTTAACAGGTCGATGATCCCAATGTTTTACCCAACTACCCATACAGGGATGATTCGACAGCAATATTCAAAGCCATCCGTAACTACGTTACCAAAGTTGTCAAGTTTTACTATGGTACGTTAGAACACATTCATATTTAAATGCATGTGAACCTGGAATTTAAAAAGTGTACCACGTTCACAGTAACAACTTGGAATGAACATTCTGTAAATAATGGGACGACGTCAAATATGTTGCAAATAAAATTACTGAAATTAGTATTAGACCTATCTCAAATATATTTGTTATTAGCACAATTATTACCCTAGTGAGTAGGCAGGGACAGGATAAGGTCTGTCTGCGAGTCATCTACACCCATTTTGCTTCTCTTTTAAAGGTTTAGCTTTTGGTAGATAAAAACACAAACTGTTGCACTAACCAACAATTATCAACTAATTTTCTTGGAGTCTTGTATCTCTGGTGGTATGGGTTCTCTACAGTAGTTTAGTATGTGGCAAATTAGCTCATTTTTTTTTCTGAAAACAGTGACAGCAGTGTAAGAAGTTTTCAGGTTTCCATGAGTTGGAGATTATGTCACTACAAAAAAGCTGTGATCAATGAAATAAATCTTATTATTTATAAGTGTTGTATAGCATCTTTAATAAAACATAAACTTCTCTTAAGTTTTTTTTTTAAGGAGTTCTGTAAAATAACTGTTGTATTTCTGAAATGTTTCACTTGAACAATGTCTTAAACTACTCAAAAAGTGAAATAAAATACTGTTAGTATTATTCAAAAAGTTTTTTTTATATATTTTTCATCAAAACTATGATGAATTTTACTATTTTTACACATTAGATGACCCACAGAAGGTTATCAATGATGTTGAGCTTCAGCACTGGCGAGAAGAATTAGTTCTAAGTAGAAATGATGGTGGTGTTGGCTTGTTGGTACGTATGGACGAGTGAATTTGAATCATACATTTACAACAAACTTCAGTGAGAAAAGTTGTTAATACTACTGGTTTTGTATAAGTGTAAAGTTTTTCTTTGATAAACTGATAGAAATCCTCAACAGTAGGGTCTTGTACCCCCTTTTCTGTATTGATTTAAAAAAAGATGTAGACAAATCAAGTTGACAACTTTCTCTGTCCAGAAAAGTATAATGTATTCTTTTGGTAAATGTGTCAGACTATAGGGTGATTTATTTTGTATTAGGGTGTTCCAGGAGAAACTGGAAAATTCACCACCATTGATCAGGTTATTGACGTCGTGAGTGTTATAATATCAACTTGTAGCATTGGTCATGCTGCAGCTAACTTCCAGCAATATTCAGAGTATGGCTTTCCACCAAATTATCCTGGAATTGTATGTGATGATGTTATTCAAGACAAAGTAGGTGTCGTTACTGTTGTCAAATCATAAAAAAAACTACATCCAATCAAATGTACACTCTTAACTACAATGATATGTTCTAGAAAATATTTATTGTCTTATTACAAGTAAGTTGTACGATGTCCAACTTGAATGAAAGAAGCGATTTATTTAAGTGATATTAAGGGTTTAAAAAATATTGCAATGACTTTGTAAAGATACATTAATTTGAAGAAGTTCAAGATTACATTCAGATAGTAGTCACTAATTTAGGAGAAGTGGTCTCGGACTCTTAACTGCTGTTCATCATTAGCCGTGACAGCAACTTTGTTTTCATAAGCCTTCGGGGTCACCAGGGATATGGTTTTGAAATGAGAAGACAACCAACCTATTAATCATAGGAATGACATTTAAAATGAAAAAAAAAAAAGTTTTTCATTTCGGATGGAGATTCTCCGAGAAAGAGTCCTTGTCAAGTATTTTGTGATATACATGGACAAAAGTAATGTTGTTATTACAACTGCCAATTCTGTAACAACTAGCATAAGAAGAGTCTGAGAAAACGTGACAATTACCCACTAAAGCGGTATCACAGCTTCTTAAAGTATAAGCTTGTTTAGATTAATCGAGGGATTAAAAAAAAAAACTGTGTAACTGTTTTTGTTTCCTGCACTGTTGTAGAGGCCACGCACAATGCAGGATGTTTTGAAGACTCTGCCAGATAAAGAAACTACTCTTGATATAATGGTTATAACCAAGTTGCTCAGTGCTAGAGGAACCAAATCTCTGGGAGATTTTGAAGTGCAGTATTTATATCACCCAGTCTGTGTAAGAGCTGCTGAAGAGTGAGTATTTAAAAAAAACTGACATATTTCAATAAATAGTGAAAAAAAAAAAACTTTATTATTTATGTTCAGCTGCTTAAAAGACACTAAAACCAGCTGCTGTATGTGTAATTGTTCACAAGTCTTTATTTATCAACAGGTTTCGTGCAGAACTGAGAGAGATCAGCAAAAACATTCAACAACGGAACAAAACTGTAGAATTCCCATACTGCTGGCTGGATCCTGAGATTGTTCCAAATTCTATTAGCATATAGAAAGAGAGAGAGAAGTAATCTAAGATATACAAAGAGTGTGATTTTTTTAAAAATTATTTAAGCTTTTAAAATGACTCGTTTTAAATGGAGCTTAATATAGATGTGGAAATGTACACGGAAGCTTATTATTATTTCTTTTTACCATGATTTAATCTTTAAATATGTAGGTGTAATAAATTCAGCTCATATTTTCTCACTTGCGTATGATTCTGGTTTTCTAATTAGCTTCACAATAAATCAAGTAATAGAACTGAATTGTAAAAAATTTCAATTTTATTTTAATGTACTTTTATAAAATATATGAGAATTACACCAATCTAAATAATGAACACAACTCTTATTAGTGAAATATCTAGCTGATAACACTGAGGTCTGGCGTATGTTTTCGATCTGAGAGATGGGATTCCAAAATCTTTCCAAACTCGTTCCTTCCCAAAAGATCATATGCTAGCGGCAACAGGTTCAGGATATGGGTATGTAACTTGGAATCGCCAAAACAGAATAGATCCATTCCTAACTCAAACCCCATCCCATAATCACATTCATCATTGGCAAATTGGACCAAGGTCATTATCTCCTGCAAGTCATCAAGGTGTTTATCTCGTTCTGTATCAGTTTTACTGTCGCATATCCTGGTGAGGATCTTTTTAAGATTACCTGAAAATAAGTTTTTCCAATTCTATATTCATTATTACTTCTATTAGAAATCACGTCATTAAACAGAATTTTACTATTATTTTTCAATCTTCTAATATTCCAGGCCAATCCTCAACCAATAATTTGTGCTCGATTTCACAACGATACTCTAAGTCAGTGGTCGGCAACCTTTTTAGATCGCGGGTCAATTATTTTTGTTGTTGAAAAATTTAGCATTGTGTTGGGTCAGTGATAATCATATAATTATTAATATCTGTACATGTATTTTAAATGTGTATGTTTATTTACATAAAAAAAAAATTAATAGTTCGACCAGTTTGATATTTTTCCCTGAAATTGATCTTAAAATTCTCCATATCCGTGACTCTTTCCTTTAATATCGTTGTTCTTCTCACATAGCCGAGAAACTTGAACTGAACAATGATTGTGCCCTTATGGGTTGCAATAGTGAAGCCAACTTTTGGCGGGTCAGCCAAATTATTGCCGCGGGTCATAGGTTGCCGACCACTGCTCTAAGTCCTAGCTACTTCCAACATACCACTTTACTATAATAATGTAGTGATGTATTTTAGAAAATGGATCTACTTACTGTTAGTTTCTGGGAGAGGTCTGTAACCAACATCATTCTTGTCAACATAGCTGAGAAACTTGAACTGAACAATGATTGTGCCCTTACGGGTTGCAATAGTGAAGCCAACTTTTGGCGGGTCATAGGTTGCCGACCACTGCTCTAAGTCCTAGCTACTTCCAACATACCACTTTACTATAATAATGTAGTGATGTATTTTAGAAAATGGTTCTACTTACTGTTAGTTTCTGGAAGAGGTCTGTAACCAACATCATTCTTGTCAACAGGAACAACTATTCCTGCTCCATGGAATGTTCTTGCCACCACCTTTTTTTCCCTCTTTTTAATTTTCATCGTTTTTGTTTCTAAACTATAGTGATGTTTTTCTGCCCACTTCTTTAATGCCTCTTGGATTTTTAGTAAGTCTTCTTTCATTTTCTTTGCACAAGAAGTCCGAAGAGCCTTTGTTATTTCCACACTAATAAACATACAATCAAAAACTTAAGACATTTCAATAATAATATTTAATATGAAATTGTCTTAACTTAAGCTACAAAACATACTTTGATCAGCTTCCAATATAAAATATATACAACGGATGACTTTAACACAAATTAATTCCCAACATCAACCTTATGCTTGACCAGATGGAACAAAATGGTTCTTAGTTATTTGTCCAAAACCGTACACCATCAGAAGTTCCTTCGATGAAAATTGGACTATTATAAAACGTGTGCAATGGATGTATATGCTGAGTTGGTGGAGTTTCTTTTTTTATATACTTGCACGAAGTGAACTATCCCAACTTTTGAACTGATAGATTACTGCCAACTCTTGTCTGATCACAGTTCCCAATCACCCTTGTAATTCACACATAGCACAATTTTTTTTAATGAATTAATGGGATGTGAACGATTGGCCCACAGATCCATAGTTCAGCATGCTAACCATTTGGCTGTGGTAGTGCATTTTATATTGCCAATGTAAGTAAATCTGCTGCAATACTTTACTTTTTTACTGAACATTACTCCATAAAATGAAGAGAAGTAAAAGTTTTAGGCAAAGAAATGGCTAAAGTTATACATTCATGTAGTGGATAGATGTTAAGCCTATTTAACCTTCTCAAGCTATAGGACGTTGTCATAAGATTTGTTTCGGAAGAGTTAAAGGCAACAGTAATAACTTACTTGACAGCAGCAAAGAGATTGTCACCCACAGGAGAAATCGTGCATCCTTTGGCAGCAGAATTATTAGCTACAAAAACGGGTGGATCGCCAGGTTCGTCTCTAATGTAAACGGTCAATTATTTTACTAACATCTCTCAGAAATAAAAACAAACAAACAACCATTCTTTTTATCCAGTTGTATAACTACTTATGCATAATTTATAAGACTGTGGTGCTTTAATGTTACTTAAAACACTGTGAACTTAGAAATCATCCATTTAGTATAAATACCATATCAATCTACTGTTCCCGACCATCAACGTAAGAATCCTTCAAATCTCAAAACAATGTAAATATTTCCTAAGTAGTATTCCTCATCTAACCATTTTTGTACAAAACGTTTGGTATTTAAAAGTTCTACAGTGAAAGGATCATTGATTTTAAAACTTTAACTGTAAAAAAATACAACAAAAAATTCTTCAACGGTGTTGTTTTATCGTCCTTTTTACATTACAGAAACACGATAAACTTATGGTTTCATATACAGTTAAACACTCAATCAATAACAAAATTAGTTTGGAAGGTAAAACTTTTTACCTGAAATATCCTAAATGATACTGAGTTTTGTCATCGCCTTTAATGACCGTCTGAAACTCTGGTGGATCATAGTAATATCTCCAGTGACGGAACAAGTCGCTAGGTTTTTGTACAAGATTGCTCTCGAGTTTTTTCCCCAGAATATCAAATGGTCCAACAAGTTCAATTCCCAACTTGTTTTTTAATGCATCTAAAACAAACCAGTTAAACTGCCTTTAGCCACAACTACTGCTAGTAAGACACTTTTTAAACCAAGCTACTTTAGAGTGAACTACTGCTAGTAAGACACTTTTTAAACCAATCTACTTTAGTATTAACTACTGCTAGTAAGACACTTTTTTAAACCAAACTACTTAATTTTCAAACTCACTATGCGAGTTCCTCTAGTGGGTATTATTTAGCAATGAAATAATTATTTAACCCTATTTTTATGGGTGGGTGTCAATGAGCACTTCTCATGCCCTTTTACA